TAGACTTCCTGAGCTAGAGAGTCCAGATGGTCAGAATCTTGAGTATCAAAAGTCACTGAGAAGGTCAAACAGGACAATCAAAGTCCCAGATAAGTTAGACCTATGATTTTAAAGGTCAAGAGGACTTTGACATCATTGATTTGTATTTTAATTATGTTGTAGCATATTTTGCATTTGTTTGTAAGGATGTAATCTACCAAATGATTCAAATCATATAATGTTCATGTTACAATATATTTGGTGATTTTAGGATACTATCATTTGTTCTATTGAGAGCTGTGTTGTTGTTTACTAAGGGTAAAGGGATGTAATATATTGAGAATTGTGAAGTCAAGGGAGCTCACTCTTCTTGTATTAGTCTTATATTTATAATGTTGTTTTGAGTGATGTCCCTTGTATGTCATGTGTCTTTCGGGTAGCTGAATAAAGACTAGATACAATCAACATGGCTTTATCGTCCAGTGTATCATTATTAAAAATACAATCTATTACACCCTCCGTCACACGTCGTCAGAAAAAGCCAGACTCCCATCCCTAAAATGACGTCACACCTCAGCCTACAGCCCCCCTCAAAATTGCAGTTCAATTTTTCTTAAAACATCGATATTTTACCAAAATCTTGTCTGAACTCTGTCAAAATAGAATAATGAAAACACAATCACAATTTAGTCTAGATAGGACATTGGCCAGGACATACCGGCCATTGCGTGCAATGACCGGCCAATGTACGAAATACGCTCTCAGTGCTAAGCTCTTCGGGCTTTGGCCAAGAGAGCCGGCCAATGCGTGCTTTGGTCGCACTTCGGGCTTTGACCGTAACATATATATATTATATATAAAATTTGAACCTCCCACCTTGAGATGATCCTGGCTAGGCCATTGACTTCAAATATGTAGTTCTGTATCAACTTTTCAGCCATTTCCCATAACCGGAATTTACGGCTATAACTTGAATACCCTTTTCCGACAGATCGATGAAATTCATTTCCTATTCATTCTCCTATTTTTCCTCAAAAAACGCATATGAATTTCTATGTAACCCTCACTCAGTGGGGATGCTTTTACCCACTGACATGTTGTGGTTAAGACGGGCTGACCCTGAGATTTAGGACACAATGACACCGACAGTTGTTGTCAAGTACTCGCTTTATTCACTACGTCGAGCCATGACGGAGATACAGAACACAGTTGTACGACGATTACAGATGAATACCAAACGAAAAACCAAAAAGAAAACAGAGAAGACTGTAGCTCTAAAACAAATGTAAAGAAAAAGTTATATTCATGATAACACCACGTGTACAACATACACGGGTACAATACAATATGTTGCGGCCAGTACACAGTACTGCCAACAAGTATCAATAAGCAGAGTTTCTTCCAGGCATCTCTTCGGGGGGGCGAAGCCCCCCCCCCCCCCCCGAAAATTTTTTACCGCCCCCCCCCCCCCCCCCCCGAACGAAATGAAATTTATATAATTTATATAGAAAATATATACTTTTAACAGTGACCGCCCCCCCGAAGAAAGTTTACCGCCCCCCCGAAGATTTCAAGTGCCCCCCCGGAGAAAAAAGTCTGGAAGAAACACTGCCAATAAGTAGTACAACAATATCCACTTAAATAAATACTCAACCTAACTAGTGTGCACATACAGCACTAGCAGGAATACACAAATAAGTATTTTAACAAACATAATTTATATAACCACACTACCTTCATTAGGTCTATATCTTGGTCACCGTGTCCACAGACAGCAGCCTTGCGTGTGACTGACACGGCTAGGCACGAAAACTCCATAGTCCCATGTCCCATGACATGGGACACAGGTAAAATCGCTCACAAGAGCATGCAACACAACTACATCAACAGGGCTAAGGCCCCATAGGGGCCGCAACTCAATGAATTAAAACTTTATTTGTTATCCCCCCTTGGTTGGTAACCATATGTGTTATATATAAATAAAAGAAATAGGATGATTTTAGATACCGATGTCCGATTGTAGACTCTTCCATAAAATAAGTGTGTTGGGGGGGGGGGGGGGGGGGCACGCCCTTTAGGGGCCCATAGCCGACTATAGTAAATTTTTGATTGTAGAAAAAAGAGTCGCAGGAAAAAAAACACAGGAAAAAAAAACAGAAAAAAAGTCGCAGGAAAAAAGTCACAAATATATATTTGCATGATATTCGTTAATACTTTTATGTATTAAATATTTTGAGCGTACAAATTAACTTAGGATTAAGTAAATGTAATGTGTGTAGGCTGTATATGCATAGTAATTTTTATAATTCATCTAAAAATATTTAGTATGAAGTGTGTGATTGTAATTATGTTAAACTTAAGATTAGTAGCATTTAATAGAATGCTCCAAAGTCCAAGTTTTTCATCGTGTTTTTTTTTTCTTAAATACCAACATTAAATTACAGTGAAATGGTAAGTTCATCTGACTTGCTGCCCTCAACTCATGGCAACAATAGTTATGTTTAGTTCAACCACCTTTATTGCCCACATTTATCACGCTCATTACATAACAAAACTTACGATCAAAACAGAAGGTCGACAAGGTTCAAAGGCTGTCATTGACGCATAACGTCAACAACACAAAATATGTTCGGACAATGCCTACTGAGGAGAGGCCGACCAGAGAATAGTTTACAGCAAAATTTGCCTAAATTTCTTTTATAATTAACTTTTCTACCGCGTATTTAACTAAAGACATAACAAAAGTTGAGATTGTTCTGTAAATTATCTTAGAGTATTTTTACTTACAATTGTTAAAAACCATAATGCTTTTAACGTCTATAAATAATTTATGCTATCGAAAAATACAACCCACAACAATAAACATACAAAATTTTACAATTCTTAACAAATAAATAAAAATATTTCTAAAAAGATTTTTGTGACTTTTTTTCCTATAAAATGTTTCCACTGTGACTTTTTTTCCTAGCCAAAACTGACTTTTTTTCTGTTTTTTTTCCTGTGACTTTTTTTCCGTTCACCAAATTTTTCATAGTTAAAAAAATAATTTTCTTGCATTGTTGACTTGACTTTAAAAAAAGTTTTTCTAAATAACAAACATATCTACTGCAATAGTGATGTTATACAGTAGCTAACACATGCTGTTGTGTAAAAAAAAATATATGTCTGAGCTGTAGTGTGATAGATAGGCAAGCGTTCAAAACACTTCCATGACTTATTTCCCTTATTTAAAAAGTTTAATAGGGGCGCTCCTAAGCTCCTTATATATATATAATATATTTGTACTAAACAAATTAAAAAGCAATTTCTTCACTTTGCAAGTTGTTTAAATTTTAAAAAAAAAAGAATTTTTTTCAAAACCCGATCTGGCCAGAAATGAGTATCCAATGTTTGTATTCTGTGTTTGTATATATATATATATATATATATATATATATATATATATATATATATACATATATATATATATACATATATATATATTCATATACATATATATACATATATATATTCATATACATATATATATACACATATATATATATATATATGTGTATATATATATATATATAAATCTATATGGGGGGGAGGGGGGGCCAAAACATTTTTTTGCGGGGTGGCCCTTTTTTTCTAGTTCCGCCACTGTTAGGGTTAGGCATATGGCAGGACTAGGGTTGGGGTTAGGGACAAGGTTAGCATTGGCATTAGCCGCTATGTGTGTATTTAGTTAACTACCAGTAACCTAACATACCTTTATAAAAGAATATTCAATTATCGGACACTGGTATAAAAATTCCCCCGCAGCTCGCGATATCTTAAAGATGAATATCTTTATAGTTTATAGTTATTTAAATAGTAGTGGATTATTATTTATTTAATGAAAATTTATTTTCTACTGTTTTAGTGCATTATTACGTAAAAGCTTGTTTAAAATATTTAGTGCATTTTTAAAAATTACTAATTTTAAATTAGAGCCACATGGTATAAAGAAGTAGTTTATTGATGTGACTTGCTGTCCTCAACTCATCCCAACAGTAGTTCAACCACCTGTACTGCTCTCATTTATCATGTTCATTACATAACAAAGCATAGGACAAAAAAAGAAATCTGACACTGTGCAAAGGATGTCATCGACGCAAAATGTCAACAACACACAATATGGACAGACAAGGCTGACTGAGGAGAAGCGAACCAAGGAAAGGCCTATGGCAAAAAAACATGCAAAACACAATGTTTAATTAACACTTATATAATTAATTTTTCAACCGCGTATTTGACTAAATACGTAACAAAAGATGAGGTTGCTGTGTGAATTAACTTTATTATTATTATTGTTATAAACCCTAATGCTTTTAAAGTTTATACATATACTATAAAAAAACCACCAACCACATTAATAAACACCAACAATTTTTAAATTCTCAAATCAAAACATTTATAGAAAAAATAAGATTTCCATGGAAGCAAGTCACCACGACTTGCTTCCAATAAAAATTTTCCTTTGTGACTTTTTTCTGGTTTCTTTTCCTGTGACTTTTTTCGTTCACCGGTTTATTCCTCTAGATGATTAAAAATTCAATAATACATTCCTTATTTTTATTATGAGACCATCATGAACCCTTGAAATTTGTTTATATTTTGCAGAGACTCTCCAAAATATAGGATAATAGAATGAAAGGTTTAGTAATAGATTCATAAAGGATAAACAAACCCACAAACATGCAGAGGAAAACATGCAAGGGGCAAAAAGATGAAGTTTTTTTTATCTGAAGTTAGAACCTGTATCTTAACTTCCTAACCTTATTTATTTATTTAACCTCTGGTTATTATGTTTGTTATATTTTACTTTATTTTATATTTATATATAAATTTTTAATGAAGGTTAATTGTCTTTATTATAATTTACATGTTGTGAAAATTCTGATGCTCCTTTACATGTGATCCAGTTTGTCGCACATTATATAAGATGAGCAACCACACATGGGTTACAAAACACCAGACTAAATAAAACAAAGGCTCGCTGAACACTAAAAGTTTAATCCGATCCACACAAACACAAGCTATTCTAAATACTAACAAAGTAGCTATAGAAAAGTACAAAGAACTAACCTACAACCTATGCTGCTCTTTTAGAAGAACTGGACTGAACTGAAGCGATCATACACGTTCTCACACACCTTATAAACAGAAATAAATACAGAACACAGGACAAACCAAGAAGTTCAGTTCTAGGGCAACAATCAGATACCTGGTTGTATAAAAAATTTTTTTTTACAACTTTTTTATTTAGTTTGCAATGTCTGTTTGTAGGATGTGGTAATTGTGTACATTATTTTGACCAACTTCCAATGGGTTAGGGTTATTATTTTGACCAACTTCCAATCCAGTGATTTTTATTGACCTAACCATAACTTTCCAGATACCTTCATCTTTGATAATGATGACAATGCAATATATTAATTTTTATTTAATTAAATAGACAATAAGTAATTCAAATTTAATTTGTAAAATTCTAAATTTATAACAAATATCAAGCGAATACTTGATCAGTCAGTTTAGAACAGTGAACTGTTTTCACGGTTGGCTGATTTTAAGCATCAGTGTCAACAACAAACTAAGTAAGGGTATAGAACTCTCTTTTGGAGATCAAAAGCTACTGGTTGGGTTTTAACAGAATTATTTTTAGTTGTGGCCTATGAAGTGTTAACTTCATATCTAATAAATGACTAAGTGGAAAATAAGCAATTATAATAGCAAGCTTTTAAATGCACTGACAATGAGAAAATAAAACAAACTTTAGCAAAACATTTGTCACTAAAATAGGTAAGAGATCTCACGAGCGACCATTGCTTTTATTTTATTTTTTCTGTGCATTTTAAAGCTTGTTGTTTTAAAGTTTTTTATATTTGTCATAATTATTTTATTTTTTTATCCTTTTCTACTCTATAATGAATCAAGGGAATAAAAAATTCAATAAACTGAACACACATTTTTCTAAAGATTTTATAGGAGAAAGGATTTTCTCATTAAAAAAACTAGAGGTAAACCAAAAACAAAAAAAGATATTTAGAAAAAAAGATAAGGCTCTAACAAAGGACCCCAACAACTCTAGGAGAGAAAACTCAAAAATCAAACAGGAGTGGTTTACTTGTGGTAGCTTCTCCAGCCAAGTTGGCAGCAACTTTAGACCAACAAAGGACAAGACAGGGATTAAAGAAAGGGATTAAAGACAGGGATTAAAGAAAGGGATTATGCAGTATGGGCAACCAGTGATATCTTTATCTAATACCCTCATTAGCACCCTGAACATTTCACTTCTCTAGGTGTATCCATTGTCTCCCAAGTCAAAAAAGGAACTGTATCTCAATCATATAACAAAACTTATAACAGCGAGTATAACAGAATATATATCTACAAAACAAAATATTGATTAGGATAGAAAAACAGTTGACCACATGTATTTGTGGGACCATGCTTTAAAATTACTTGGTTATGCTTCAAACCTAATGAAGTCAACACTAAATCAGACTGTAAACAAAAATATTACATAGTTTAGATACATTATTTTAGTTACACAATTGACATTGGAAACAATAACATTTTTATTTCTTGCCCAACTTGATCAAATGTTTAGTCTGCAGATACAAGTTTAACATTTGTTCTCTAGACAACAATATGCTAATGTTCCTTGTTCTCTAGACAACAATATGCTAATGTTCCTTGTTCTCAACAGAAGTAGAATCACACAGCAGTTCCTGGGCTTTGATTTATTGCATAATTTGCAGCTGACAAAAAAGCTAGATGACCTTTTGGACATCTGTTGGCAAAGTGACCCTTTTCTCCACACTGAAAACAAAAATATGCGATTTCCTTGAGTGAAAAACTATAGCATACACATTAAAATATCAGTCAACTATAGACTGTACTATGCACATAAATTATATATAATAGTCAACACAGTAACTGCCTCTGACACAAAAACGAGCAGCTTGAAAATTGTTTTTCTTTTTGCATGCATCAAAAGACATTAATCTAATTCGAATATACATAAATTAATGCTTAAAAAATCAAATTAGAATTGTATTGATGTACCAGTAAAAAAAAATCAATGTACCAGCCTGACTTATCAATGTACCAGCCTGACTTATCAATGTACCAGCCTGACTTATCAATGTACCAGCCTGACTTATCAATGTACCAGCCTTACTTATCAATGTACCAGCCTTACTTATCAATGTACTAGCAAATCTAATGAAAGCAAGTTGCTCATGTTTTTTTTTTAAATTTCTTTGGCCTCCACTTTTGTTTTGGCAGTTTGATTACCAGGTTTTGCGTTTCAAAGTGTTAAAAACATGAACAAAGTGTTGAGCACATGAACAAAGTGTTGACTATATGAACAAAGTTTTAGGCACATGAACAAAGTGTTGAACATGTGAATAAAGTGATGAACATGTGAACCAAGTGTTGAACATGTGAACAAAGTGTTAGGCACATGAACAAAGTGTTGAACATGTGAATAAAGTGTTGAACATGTGAACAAAGTGTTGAACATGTGAACAAAATGTTGAACATGTGAACAAAGTGTGAACATGTGAACAAAGTGTTAGGCACATGAACAAAGTGTTGAACATGTGAATAAAGTGTTGAACATGTGAATAAAGTGTTGAACATGTGAACAAAGTGTTGAACATGTGAACAAAGTGTTGAACATGTGAATAAAGTGTTGAACATGTGAACAAAGTGTTGAACATGTGAACAAAATGTTGAACATGTGAATAAAGTGTTGAACATGTGAACAAAGTGTTAGGCACATGAACAAAGTGTTGAACATGTGAATAAAGTGTTGAACATGTGAACAAAGTGTTGAACATGTGAACAAAGTGTTAGGCACATGAACAAAGTGTTGAACATGTGAACAAAGTGTTGAACATGTGAACAAAGTGTTGAACATGTGAACAAAATGTTGAACATGTGAACAAAGTGTTGAACATGTGAACAAAGTGTTGAACATGTGAACAAAGTGTTGAACATGTGAATAAAGTGTTGAACATGTGAATAAAGTGTTGAACATGTGAACAAAGTGTTGAACATGTGGACAAAATGTTGAACATGTGAACAAAGTGTTGAACATGTGAATAAAGTGTTGAACATGTGAACAAAGTGTTGAACATGTGAACAAAATGTTGAACATGTGAACAAAGTGTTGAACATGTGAACAAAGTGTTAGGCACATGAACAAAGTGTTGAACATGTGAATAAAGTGTTGAACATGTGAACCAAGTGTGGAACATGTGAACCAAGTGTTGAACATGTGAACTAATATAATTTGGGATTAGGTCAAGAAACATTTCAATGAAAAACATATCATGTCCTCATATTGAATCAAAATACTTCTATGTTCAAACAAACACAAAATATCTGATGTCTACATTTCAATGTCCAAGATTTTTATCTTAGGTCAGAAGGTAATTCTATCATGGTATCTGTTATCTAGCATCTGTTATCTATATAATAATGGCATCTGC